GGGGGGAATATTGTTGATATTTTCTTATACACAGTAGAATTGAAAATTGTAAATGGGCTGATTCATTGAAGTCATGCTCAAAACTGTGCCTAAACTGCAACAAGGAACTACTGCTTTTTCTTTCCTAATTCTTACTATTGTCATTTTTCCTCAACTTCTTTTGTATGTTTGTCTCTCTCTTGTGACCCGCTATTTTTGGGGTGCCTTGATAGTCGAAGCAGACTTTTTGCTGTTGAAGCTAGAGAGGTGAGCAGAGTAAGTCCGATTCCCTATCAGGACTTCTCTGTTGATATCCACCCTTTGGTGCTCATATGACCTTATGCAGTTGCGAGCGTCGTAAAACCTCTATTAAAACTACACTAAAAAACACATAGAGAGGCATAAAACATTTAAAATCCGAACATATCATGAACAGATCAACAGCAGAATACATGGGACAAAAATGGATAACAACATGTTCTTGCTCACTATAAATAACTTACAGAGGCCTCCGGTGTACATGCATTGTTGTAGTTAGCACTTCTTGGAGTTTTAGTAAAATGAGTTGTTGGTTGTTGTGGGGGGGGTTTTGGGGGGGTGTTTTGTTTTTTGGGTGGGGGGTTTATAAGTATTTTACTACGCTCACAACTGCATAGGGTAATACGAACACGGGGGACACATTAAACATTTTTTAGTTAGGTGGGAATTTTTAATTTTGCCCGGGGGGCGGCCAAAGCCTACTCTTATTATCAATTTTAGGACCACCAAGGAATCTTTAACGAGCGCAATGAAGGTTAGATCTTACCAACTATAAGATCAGGGGTGTGGATGAAAAACAAAAGCAGACTTTAGAAGGAGCCAAGGAGTAGCAGTAGAAAGGCTGCAGAAAGAGTCAGGAGCCCAGAGGAGGGGGCAAAGGAGGCGAGGGGGGAGGGGACAGGAAATGGAGAGGAAAGCAGACAGCAGAACAAAGTGAGAGAGCAGGAAAGTACATTATATACGTAAAAGAAATACATTTTAGAGGAGAAAATTTTCTGTCGACGTCCAAATTCAAACCCGGGACCTATTGAATGAGAGACAACACTAGAACCTCTAGACCATGAGAACCCCCCAGATTGTGTTGACTGCAGTGTTCCCACTCACAGGCATAAATCCATTTGAAATCTTTTCACATCATGTAATAATAATAATAATAAATAGCATTCATACTGCGCATTTCCATTTTCTAAAAGATGCTCAATGCGCATTACAACGAAAAAGACATCACATCTTAAAAATTAATCGACATGCGTGTACGTAAAACAAAGTATTATACATGATACAATATAAATGTTATATATATATGGGTAAAAATTTATATTATGAGAAAAACAGTCGTCCAGTGAGGTAGGAAATGTGTTCACTAAAGATATACATTTAATGCAATAAAAATTCACGAACGGTCACAGATGTACAGACCAACAGAGGGTGCGGTGGCGGAGCGGTTGGTGCGCTCGTCTCCGAAGTGGGAAGTCCAGGTTCGAGCCTCGGTTCGGACACATGTTTTTCGTCCCCTCCTGCCCACCCAGCAGTAATGGGTACCTGACTTCGAGTTGGGGAAGTAAAGGCGGCATGGAAAGGAACTGGCCACCCTACCACCACAATAGGTCAAAGGCCCATGAAGTTGTCTCACTAACAAGGCAACCCCCAATGTCCAGATTGGATGCGGGAACCACTTTACTTTACAGATCAACAGCAGAATTTATTTTTTATTTAGTAGAGGGTTTTACGGCGCTCGCAACTGCATAAGGTCATAAGAGCGCCAAGGGGTGAGTGTCAACAGAGAAGTCCTTACAGGGAATCAGACTTACTCTGCTCACCTCTCTAGCTTCAACAGCACAAGGTCTGCTTCAACTATCAAGGCACCCCGGAAATAGCAGGTCACAAGAGTGTGACAAACATACAAAAGAAGTAGAGGACAACAGTAAGGATTAGGAAAGAAAAAGCAGCAGTTCCCTGTTGTAGATCGAGCACAGTTATGAGCGTGACATGATGATTCAGCCCATTTACAATTCTACTGTGCTTGAACGAGAAATGTTCAAAATCCCCTTTGGGAATGGCCTAAAGACACTTCAGTCAGTGGCACGG